GAAAAGAGCTAAAGAGAATGAGGAAAAAAAAAGCACAAATACAAGAAGGCAATATAAGTTCCCCAAAACCTACAGCAGTAGAACAATCAGAACTTGGAGACTTCAGTTTCAGAATAATGTACTTTCAGTCTAGTGAGTGTAGCCTTGAATATTCAACTCCTGCAAAGCAATTTGTACCAACCTGCTCCAAGTATGTTAGAATTTAAAAGCCATAAGGCATGTCAACCATGTAAAAAACTTGCACTTCTTTGAAACAGATAGCTTTACACTTTTTAAGTAATTTTTCAGTCATTCATTTTTCAGGATCATGATTTCAAGTTATTGCTAACAATCATCTTTCAGATATCAGCTAAGAACCCCGTTATGAGAGCAGTTAGGCCTTTATCTAATAGTTTCCCAGCTGAAAATGCCAATAATGAGAGCAAAGTTACCCAAGATTTAGCACTACTGTACCAGAAAAGATGTGCAGGCCTTTGGTCAATCTGAAAAAAGAAGGAACTGTTTCCTATAACAATAAATAAGTGGGGGAGAGGTTGCTTGATTATTTTGTAATATATCATTTAGCCATGAAAACCTGCCTACTTTCACTGTACACTGGATTACTTAAAAAGACTTGATATTTCACTCAAAATAGTTAAAGCATGGCAAGATATTAGGATGGGTGGGCATCAGCAGACCCTGAACACTGCTGCAAGTTATCCCACCATCATTATATGCACACCTGCAACAGATCTTACACGGACACAGAGAATGTTTTCATTTACAAGAGCTGTATGTTGTATTTCAATTTAATTCCTTGTTTTTGTTGTTTTTTTTTTTAATGGCTATAAATGCCAAGTAAATCATTAAAAGAAATGTCAGCTCTATCAGTGGCAGCTGCTCTTACTTACTAAAAAAAGGAGGGGAAGTGTAGGAGCAGGGCAGCCAGCAAACCCCACAGCGGTCTGCAAAGTCACTAGTGGGAAAACAACAAAGGCCTTTCCATGCAACTAACACAGATGTGCCCATAGCCAAACTGTCAGAAACAGTTAAGATGACAGCCACTCACAGTTCATTATTTCCTTCTCACAGGTCACTGGGTGACAAGCTGGGTCACCGTGCTTTGTCGGCTGCTACAAACTCGCCCACACCCCCTCAGCCCCCCAGTTCTTCTTCCAGTTAAATAAAGGTAACCTGCTCAAACGGGTGTACTGGTGTAAACAAATATCTCCAAATGCTTTCTGAGAAGAGGGATGTGATGTTTGTTGTACCTTCCTTTCAGTTTCCGATGGATGTGTAACATTTCCTCTCCGTGATGAGCAGAGAGCTGGATTTGTATCTGTAGCAGATACAGCTCTTCCAATAATTTTGTCAAGATGTGACTAAAGCAGATAATGAAAGCTAATTTGTAACAATTCAAAGCTTTAACCTTTATAACACTTACATGGCAGACATACCACGAAAAAAATCATCGCAACTCACTGAAAAGATGTTTTTACCAGAGAGGACTTTCCACAAAGAAAGATCTGAGGGGGTATTTAAAATTAATATAGACTTTTAAAATGCAGAAAATATAGTCTAAAGCACCCTTCCTTTTCTTTTTTTTTTTCTTTTTTTTTTTTTTTTTTGGAATGTGCAATCTATAAATAGATCTTTACAACAATCCAGTAATGAATGAGTGTTTCTAATATGCTCTCATCTGTCTCCATGGAGTAATCAATTACAGTACAGATGTAGATTACGACTTTTACTGATGTTTTGCCCACGTGGAATTTAAAATGAACGAACAGTGTGTAAAGAATCAAGGTCAAGCATTTGCTTCGCTGTAAGAAACAACAGAAATGGGAGAACATTTCCAGCTCTGTAGGGGTGTTCCTCAGTCATTTTTCCTACACTAGTAAGCCTTGCAAAAAGGGGATAACAATTTGTCCAAATGATTCAGAAAAATGAAAATGAAACCAAGTGTCCCCCATGCATCTGCCTTAGTATTAACTATGACAAGGTCATAAGCATTCTGACTCAGATCCAAGAATGCTTGTACCTGGCATGTACTTAACTTGGAGCTTACTTAAATGCATATCTGGATTGGAATATTCAGAAGCTCGTGAAATCAAGCTTACTTATGGAAACAAAGTGATCCAATAAGGCCCGAAACCAAAACTGCATCAAAACAGGTGATAAATTGTAGATTATGGGACCAGCACCTTTTGAAGGGACGATTCACAAATGGAATGTATTTGCCAGGACACCACAAATCTACAGTTGATACAAAGAGCACTTTCCTGGCTGGGCCCAACCTGTAATATCGTAACAATGAGAGAAGTGACTTCAACCACTGCCAGAATTTACAGGGGTTACTGCTCCACTGGGTAACACCAAAAACATTAGGGCGTTATCCTGACCCAGGAAAAGATAAGAATAAGTCATTTCTTTATAAAAGTGTCCATTCCAAACTATTTCTGAGTGAGAGGAGGCAGTGGATTAGCTGTTTCCCATATGTGAGCAGTGAGAAGGAGAACAAGGATGGGAAGCAGAAATCAGTGGTCATTAGCCACTTAGTTAAGTCATTAGTTCTTGTGCACTGAGGGAAGTACACGTGTCACAGTCACACAGCTCACTTCTCTACTCATCCTCAAAGCCACCACATCATCTCAGCAGCTCGAATTCTCCGTGGCCAGCAACTACCTTGGATTGGATTTTGGTCTGTTTGTCATTTTTCCCTCAATGGTATTTTCTGGAACGGGTAAATTTTTCAGCTTTCACACACAAAAAACCCTCAGGGATTCAGTCAGGTAAATCAGAGACGAGGTTCAGGTTCTTCTGTCTTATAGGAGTAATGGATCATGCAAATTGTTGAAAGTATGGGATGCATTAAAAAAAAAAAAAAAACAACATTAAAAGAACACTCAATAAGATGTCCTCAAAGATACTAAGGACTTGCCAAGACCACTAAGATAAGACTGGCAGGAGACTTGCAGCATTCCGAAGCAGCTGGAAGCCTGGTGATATACCCCTTAACACCTAAAATTACCCCTAACACCCATGTCTGGGCAGCTCAATCTCCTTCCCTCCCTCTCAATAAGCCGAAGTTTTACAAAATTCTACGAATGTGCTGAGTGGGGCCATCAACCAAAAGAGTTTCATAAAAACCAGTTGAACTTCGGAGGAACAGTGACCATAAATCTTCACTTTCTCATCTCACACATCTGAACCAACTGAAACAGTTCTAGGACACAGAGATATATTTTCCCCTAACACACAATTCGTACCTCATTTGTGCTCATGACAGTTTTTCCAGGTTATTTTGGAAAGGAAGGCAAGTTTTATTGCTGCTTGGAAATGGAACAGCTTTTCAAATCACAGGAGATAAAACCCTGTCTCCCTAATCTTACCTCACCTTTCAGTCACTGAAAGGATTCTACAAACTACAGAGTGGGATGTGGCAGCTGTTTAGCAGACTACATAAGTACTTATCACAGTCTAGTGAAAAATTGCAGCAAAAGAGAATTTAAATCACTTAGTACCTCCCATAACAGATGTAACTGCAGTTTTGAATTAGTTATAATTGCTATTTAATGCCAAATATTTCTGACAGTAAAATAAAGTTGTTTGGGTATTAAAATGTAGTTTTCTATATTTAATTCAACTTCAGGAAAATGCTTTCGACTGCACAACTCCACTTTGAGTAGGAAGATCTTGACTGAAGACAGCTTTCTAAATCAAATGTGTTTATTCTGCAAGAAGAGACTTTTAGCTTAATATTTACATCCCGTTATCTAAGGCTAGAAGTGCAGACATTTGGTTGAAATTTCACTTATTCTGTCGTACTTCCATGAAGTTCAATACTTTGTAGCGACCCTGACATCACATCACCCATTTACAGCGTAACAACTGGTACTCAAAGCACTGAGGAGCAAGTGATGCTGGACAAGTCCTCACATCACACTGCAGATGGCATCTTTGGAAAGAGCCAATATAGTCAATATTGACGTCAGAACCCAAGTTTATGTTTTATTTCTTCAAATAAAAAATAAAACTGCCCAAAATACAGGTAACCTACCCCTGACTATGCAGTCTCCCAAAAGCTGCTGATAGCCAATACCTTCAGGTACCCCAGTCATGTCAGAGTCTTCAGGCACATTTGAGAATATTTCAGATACTGAAAGACTAAATATTTGTGAAATAACATTAAAAAGCAAACACCTGAAATTCTAGTCTAGCCAATCACTGTCATTAACTTAATGCCAGCAGTAACAACACTAATGAGTTCAACTTTAATCCTAACAGCAAGTGATGCCTTGTGGTCTTTCATCTGAATGGGAAGCCCATTGTCAATATGTTTTGATCTAAAAATACCCAAAACCTCAAAAATAAGGTTTTTATTAGGCAGTTTCAGTTACCTACAGAAAGGCAAAGTCTTTTGCCTGCTGTAAGTACAAGCAATTACAAACACTACTCTTTATCTTTTAATGAAATTAAAACACAGTCCTACATTGAAATGTACTTAATATTTTGGCTCAGCATGACTTTCAGCTTTCTAACAAGACCTTTACCATTTAAATTTAAGTCTTGTGGCACAAAACATGTCACAATGTTGATACAAGTCCTATTTCTTTATGTAACTTGCACGATGCGAGGTCTGCAGATTAAAAAATTTAAGAGTGAACTTGCAATTACTACCAAACATCATCCACATCAATCTTTGAAATAAAAAAAAAAAAATAAATAAAAAAAAAAAGAAGCACATAAATGTCACCCCTTTTCATTAATTTTGGTCAAAATCCCTGTTTGCTTATCAAGCCAGAGGCTTTCTGAGATATTTCAATAATATCCAGGAAATCAATCTTACATGAAACTGAAGGAAAACATCTAATGTCATTGAACAATAAATATCAGTTCTGTCAGTGGCTTACCTTTGAGCTGGGGCCTTAGGATGTTTCGCTTCTGGTTTCCTCACCAGTGCCACTGTCAGTTGTGGAGTCACCCCTAGGGGATCTGCAGGCATTAAATGGGCGTCCAAAGGTCCTGAAAGTTGTTTCTGATTGGGGTTGCTGACGTGTTTTTTTTTTTTTTTTTTTTTGCAGAACCTAAGAGATGAAAGTACAACCATGCAATTCATACATTGCTAATTAAAATAATGTGTGTCTACTTTTTCAGGCGAGGCTGTTGATGAGCAGAGAATGTCAGAAATACAAATAGCTATGTCAAGATGCATCAAGAAGCACAAATCTAGAGATCTTGTGGGTTGGGGGTTTTTTTTGTTGTTGTTTGTTTCTCTTCCTTCCTTGAGTTTTTCCACATAGGAAATTTCAAAAATTTGTCCTGTGTGGGCTATAAGCATAAACCGTTCTATATACAGCGTTTTTTTTCATTTATAATCCTGTATATAACTATTACTTGCCTAATATATAAATATCTTATTAAATGAAGAAATCAAACATTTCTGTTTGTTTTTTTTTTAAGGAAAAAAAGCTGACTTCCACACTGATATTTCTCTTTTCAGAATGTGTTTTTGAAAGGACTGTCTCTGACCTGCCTCTGGCTTAATACTGTGACCTCTTCTGCTGAGCTGCTGTCGATGTGCTGATGAGCTGCAGACCAGGCCCCATGGTGAATACGGTTTTCTGTCTGGGTCACCTCCTCTCTTTCATTTAGTTCCTCCTAGGTAGGTCAGGAAAAACTCAGGGTAAGCCTGTAGGAAAGGACAAAGGCAGAGGAATAATGAAGAAAAAAACATCAGCTCTATCAGCAGAATCACAACAGTCCAAACACCAGGGGACAGTGGGAAAAGTTGATGTACCCAATGTCACAGGAGTTTCCTGCACGGAGATAACTTCATATTTCACCAAGTTTTCAAAGCCAGAGTTGGATAATGACCTTTTTATATGCACTGAAGTGAAAAAAAAACAAACACAAACAAAAAAAACCCAACCAAACAAATATTTGAATATTAGATGTATCGGTTTAAGAATAAAGACCAACAGCTCTCAAATTGAAAATTCTTGTAGGTACAAAGGAACAAAATTCTGTCTCCCTGTCTTGAGGCAATAATTAATTAAGTATAGGTGACATTTTGGCACACATTCCCACGTACTATATTAAGAGAAGTTAAAAGCAGCATGTTCTGAAATCAAGACACGTCACATACAGAAAAGGCCTTCCTGATGGTTTTGAAACCTGAGAAAATGTTACTGTTTTTATTCATTATTGAAGTCAATTTGCCTTCTTAATCCTCTTTTGATCCTTGCTTACATGGCAAAAATACTGCAAATAAAACCCAACCAACCACAGTTTAAATACAGCAATCTGTTGAATTTGAGACACTGACACCTCATCTGTCTAATATTCTAAAATCCAGATCTGGTACCATGGCAATGTGATCAGTTCTGCTTCTTTAGCTCAGTCTGGGAAATGAGTGCAGGGCAGTTTCTCAGGTGTTATTTCAATGTAAGCAGCGGTCAGTCTGCTGTCTTTATGATGAAATGAGCAGAATCTTGAGTTTTAGAAAATGGGGTTTATTTGAAATGAAAATTTTAAAGTTCTATGAGCACCTCTACCATTTTTCAATAGGAAATATATCATATTAACTAGACTAGGTTAAGACCAAAACCAGGAGTTATTAACATACTTTGACAGGTAACAATTCAATGAATGGAATTCAATAATCTATTAAAACCTTATCAAGTTTCTCACAGTACAAGAGAAGCCACATTTTTCTGTTCCATAACTCATTAGTGAATTAACATTTGGAATTTCATTTATAAGGCAAGTTTTTAAGTGTTTAAGCACTTGGGCATATTTTCCAAAGCCAATTCTGGAAGGTCATCCCACAGATTCAATGAAACTTCTAAGCTCAAGTGGAAAACAAAAGAACAAAACAAAACATCAAAACTGAAACCTACCTTGGAGTTCTGAGAAGACATTTTTGCTTGTGTCTTAAGAATACTTAATAATATTAAAATATTTAGGGTTTTTGATCTTGATTTGTCCTGGACACTAACAGAACAGCTCTGGTTTTAGCTTCAGTTGCATGACTTTTTCTTGAGCTTTCTCTCAGTTTTCCCATGAGTGCCGTTATTTTCAATTTAGGACCACTTATATTTTACCTTAAAATAAATCCCTTCAATAGCAAGAATACAATAAACAGTGGGGCGCTTTTTATTTCTTAAAGAAAAAAAATTCTTCACCAATCAATAAGAGCAACTCCTGCTGTTTATCAACTTGTATAGACAATATTGTTTGTTATGAAACTTTTACGTCCTGCTTCGTAGTTCCACCTGCATTTTAATTCCTATAAAAATTCACTCATTCAGATTTCTGGTGTATTTTTCAGGCTTGACTGCACGAAAAATGAGGGAAGTTTCTATTGCTTTAAATAAATAAATTCTTCCTCTATGAGAACTTCACACTCACACTTTGCTCCTCCTGCTGCCAAGAAAAGTGATTCTGGGTCGTTTCCCTCTCTGCTTCTGTGACAGAAGAAACCATTTGGCAGCCATGTGATGAGTACAAGCAGAGAACCGACTTAAGTTAAAATTAACGCAGTAAAATGATAATTATTCCCCATGTTTGTACTCAAATCCAGTTCACTGTGGGGCACACCTGTTGTGAAATCCACGCTCAAAACTCAGAGCATGTTAAAGAGCTTGATTAGCTCATCTTGCTTCCTTCCTAGAACTGATATTTGACTTATTTTATTTTATTGACTTACATTTTGCCCATAAGATTCCCATGAATAAGAGCACATAGCTTGACCATTCACAAACACAAATGTTAAATATTCATCTGTTAACTAAAATGTAAAGGAGAGACACCAAGATTAATTCCTTGTTTCTGCATAAGAGTAGTTTGTGAATCAGGAAAGCCACATCAGAATTGCATTATGAATCAATATCTCAAAAAATAACTGATGATTTAACTGTTTTTTTTCTTTTTTTCAAGACAAGTCAGTATTTTCTGACATAGGTAAAGAGCACCTTGACTGCACAGAGGAGAGTGTTGCACGGAGGAGAGTCTGTTAATGGCAAACTCAGTGAGTAACAGGTATTATTAGTTCCAAGAAAGCGAGTTTCCTTCTCATTTTGGAGGTGTCACATATCATTACACTGCATTATGCTGCTGTCCTTTGTGTCAGTTTTTGTTGGCCTACACATGCTGCAACTTAAAATAACATGACACTGCAGATAAAGTGAACGTGAAATATATGGAGAAATACACCATTTTCCCAAGAGACCTGCTACCAGCTACTAGCATTGTCTCCTGATAAAAAGAAATTTTAGGTTCTCTGCAGTTTGCTCAAGGTTAAAGATATCCAATGCTGCAGATGTTCCCAGCGTGTCTGTGAATGCCTTCGAAGTGTTCCAAGTGCTCAGAAAAAGACAAAATTTAAAGAATCTTCAGATGCACAAATCACTGGATACGACTCACTGGTCTGCTGATGAAAAACCACTTGTTAGTTTGTTTATTTGAAGATAACGAGGCCCTGGGGATTAAAAACCCAGGTCTGTGAGTACTCCACCACCCTTCCACTGCTGCCCATGGATTCCTGACAGTAACTTGTAAGAACCAGCTGACCTGCAAAACATCAGACTTCAAACCATCTGCTGACAGAGGTGCCTGGCCACGGCAGACACAGGTGAGGAACAGCTCCTCTCTCAACACCGTGCACCGAAGATCACTGCCCTCACACCACCTGCATTGTCATTGCCATTTAAACTCGTGGTCTGACCAAGTTTACTGGAAAGGAACGCCTCAGATTTATTTTTCCAGGAAAATACGGTGTATTTTAATCAACAGTCCATTTTACAAGTTTGTTTTGTTTTGTTTTAACTGTGCAAGAGTAAGGACAAGCAAACAGTAATTCAACCCTGTTTTAAAAAAAAAACCTATGAACTGTTGCAATTAATTTTCTAGTTTACAGGAGAGACAGGGGTTTCTAAATTTAATATTTCTGCTTAGACCTGAATGTTAAAAAAAAAAAAATTTAATTTTAACTTCTGGGTTTAGGACACCTTCTTTGATAGAAGATTTTTTCAAAATTCACTGAGATCCACCCATAACAACATTAAGGATTATCCCTCAAAATTCTCCCCACAGCACCTTAATTTTACAGGAAGGTGTTGCATGATTTGAAATGAAAATAGGATGCCTGTAACTTCTTTAATCAAAGAACATTTCCCTATTTACTACTTTTGCCGTGTTTGTTCAATAAATGAATTCTTTCTCTTTTGTGCATGTTAACTGTTAATAGAATATGTTCATAACCAAGCTTGAGCTTCATGGTCTTCATCTCTACCCCAGAATGTGTTTTAAGCTTCTGTTAACAAACATGTCTAAGAGTAGAGAATCTAAATTGACATTTTAGAAGTCAATTTGTCTTTTTTTTTAGAGCTGCCTCATTTCTAAGCACTGACTCTTAGTTATCACAGGTTACTCTGCAGATTCAGGAATAAAGCCCATTTTTACCACATAATTGAAATTTAAAAAAAGCATGCACTGCAATTCAAGAAATAAAACATTAAACCAAAAAAAAATCAAAATCCACAAGTAAAATTATGAACAAGGTGTGTTAAATTTAAAGTAGTTCTATAAAAACATCTTATGTTTCTATTTATTTAATAGAAGATATTTATAAAAATAACACGAACAACAAATAACACGGTGATATCACAGCATCAAAATAGCAAACACCATTCATTGAAGGTTTCAGATAGAAAAAGAGAACACACAAACAAACAAAAAAAACCCAGCCAAACCAAAAATCTCCGATTTGGCAAATGCAGATATAGTGCAATACTTTACAGTACATGGAGCCAGTGTTTCCTAAACTCTCTGTTGATAGGTGCTGCTTTTGTTCCTGTTACAAAATGAGTAACTCAAAGAGCTACATCTCATTTTTCTAAAACACAAATATATAAATTAGCAGATAAAACAGCATTTACACTTCAAACAGCACGATTCTGCCAGGAAACACTTGATTTCAGAAGCTAACACCATGAATAAGCATCTAGTGCAGTAAATAAAGATGCGAAAAAGAATTAAGTAGTCTGCAGCTTATTCTAGTTATTTATTTTCCATTCTAAAAGGAATGGGAAATGAATCATGCCTTAAGACTTTCTGGAGTGAAAATTAATTAATTTTTACACTAGTGCAAAATAAATCAGAAACATCTACCTCAAGCAGAACAATTTTCCAGCTCTATGTGATATCAACAACACTGGAATTTTTAAATCAGCTTCATAATTATTACATTTTTCATTAATCTTTTGCAGAATTTGAACCCAAACCCCTTCCTTATGAAAAAGAAAACAGATCTCTGAAGATATTTTTTTTTCTATCTAGAATAGGCAGGTTCTGTTGAAAGTGACTGACCTACAATGATTATCTGTTGTAACTCTCTGACCACTTTAGGGCTGACCAAAAGTTAAAGCACGTTATGAAGGGCATTGTCCAAATGCCTCTTAAACTCTGCCAGGCCTGGGGCATCGCCCACCTCTCTGGGAAGCCAATTCCAGTGTTTTTCCACCCTCTTGGTAAAGAAATGCTTCCTAATGTCAAGTCTGAACTTTCCCTGCCACAGCTTTGAACCATTCCCACGTATTACTGGATCCCAGGGAGAAGAGAGAAGCACCTTCCTCTCCTCTTCCCCTCCTCAGGAAGCTGTGGAGAGCAACGAGGTCACCCCTC